AGACAGAGACACTGGGGGTCGAACCTGGGACCTTCCACATGCCGAGCAGATGCTCTGCCGGTAAACCAGTTCAATGTGTTATCTACTCAGACTGGCAGCTGCTCTCCAGGGTCTCAGCTAGAGGTCTTTCACATCACCTAAAAAGATCCTTTTTACTGGGGATGCCGGGGATTGAACCTGGGACCTTCTGCATGCCAAGCAGAGGCTCTGCCACTGAGCCAGGCCCTTTCCCACACTAACCCAGTGATCCCTGGTGTGATGCCCAGGGTATATACGTCCTTCTTCAGACTGGTGGTTAAAATGCCAAGAGTTGTGAGTGGAAACAGAGAAGCAGGGAGGCAGCACCAGACTAGCAAACCACCCAGCTCATCCTGCCCTCTCTTGGCCACAGAGACGGCCTTCCTTGGAAGCCACTCCCTGTGTCTGTGTGAGGACCAAGCCCTCCCCTTTCCTTGCAAGTGGAAACCCAAGTCCACATCGGATTCCGCATTTCCGGTCCATGATGGCCATGTTGGGGCGATGCCCACGGCCCTTTCCAAAATCCTCAAAAGCCGCTGCAAGTTGACAGTGTTGCCACATCGATTACCACCAAACTGTGCCTGCTCAAGGCCAGCTCTGCCTTGCTGTCCAGGACACAACAACCCTGCCAGGGTGGTTCCTTGGGAAGTGCTGGGGAGCACTGGCGGCCAAGAGGGGGAGCCGCGCAGGGCTTGGTCCAAAGACAGCCAGTTTGGTGCAGTGGTTAGGAGCGTGGATTCTAGTCTGGGAGAACCGGGTTTGGTTCCCACCTCCTCCTCCACATGCAGCTGCTGGTGTGACCTTGGGTCAGTCACAAGTTCTCTCAGAGCTGTTCTTTCGAGAGCAGTTCTCTCAGAGCTATTGTGTGAGGGTAGGAGATCTGGGAGACTTCCAATTCAATGCTAGGGTATTTTGGGCAGCATATAACAATAAGGAAACTCTTTCTTTCATAGAATAGGAACTGACTGTACTCCCCCAAGTATTTAAGAGAAGATCTTCTGGTGTGAGAGTTAGGTCTACATTGGTGAATGACGTAATTTGTGTTATGACAGATCCATATTTTACTGTATGGAATTACAGTGCAATGTTTGTATTGAAAACTGTTGAAAATTAATAATATATAAATCAGGAAAAAAAGAGTTCTCTCAGAGCTCTCTCAGCCCCGTCTACCTCACAGTGCGTCTGTTGTGAGGAGGGGAAGGGGAAGGAGTTTGGAAGCTGCTCTGAGACTCCTCTGGGTAGTGAAGGGTGGGGTATAAATCCAATCTCTTCTCTTCTCTTCTTCTTCTTTGGAGGGTGGACTCTATGGCGGAGGTCCCTTCCTTCCCTAGTTTGGGGTAGTGGTTAAGTGCGCGGACTCTAATCTGGGAGAACCGGGTTTGATCCCCCACTCCTCCACTTGCAGCTGCTGGATGACCTTGGGTAAGCCGTAGTTCTGTCAGAGCTGTCCTTGAAAAAGAGCCGTTTCTGTCAAGAGCTCTCTCAGCCCCACCCACCTCACAGGGTGTCTGTTGTGGGGAGGGGAAGGGAAAGGAGTTTGGAAGCCGCTCTGAGGCCGAGTTCAGACTGGCAATTTGAAGCGTGAGGGAGTCGTGACAAAGAAAACCCGGAACAGACCTGGAACAGCTTGGTTGCGGTATTCCCGTTCACACTGCAGCGAATGAAGCGGGAGGGTACCGTGGAGGAAGTGCAAGGGAGCGTTCATACTGTTGCGCCACGCTGGCGGCCTGTTAGCGGCTGTTTCCACGCTGGGCTGCATGCGCTCATGCGCATGGGCGCAGCAGCAAATAGGACAGGATCGCACAGGCACAGCCGGTGCCTATTATCAATGACTGCGGGCTGTTCCCGCCTTAGCAGCGCTTGTGTTCACACTCAGGGAACCGGAATCAACGCACTCTATACACGGTTTGCTACCACTTTAACATGGTATCTTTTAAACTTGGGAGGGAAGCGGTGCAGCTCTGGTTTTGTGGCACAACCAGGGGTCATTTCCTGCGGGAGCGCACAGGAGCGGAGCTCCGGCAGTAAATATTCCAGGGGGTGGGCACATGCAACAAGCCCCGCCCCCTGCTCCCAGCAGCCCTCAGTCAGAGCAAGAAGAACCCAGGTTAGTTGCAGAGCCCCCCCTGGCCCCCTGGTCCAAAACAGTCCAGTGGCACCTTTAAGACCAGTTTTTATTCAGGTACAAGCTCTCCCTCCTCTGTGAGATCTGCACATTTCCCCCCCTCTCAGCCCCACCCACCTCACAGGGTGTCTGTTGTGAGGAGGGGAAGGGAAAGGAGTTTGCAAGCCACTCTGAGACTCCTTTGGGTAGTGAAGGGCGGGATATAAATCCAATCTCTTCCTCCTCCTCCCCCTCCCCCATATGCTCATAAGACACAAACCAATGTTCCCATTGGCATCTGCCCACTGAACTACCTTGCAGCGCTGTGGTCAGGAGGATCATTGAGGCATGATACACAGTAAGCTACCAGTGCCCGGGATCTGTTGAAGTCTCCCAGCCTGAGCTCTCTCATCAATCAGAATACCTCAATCAGAAACAATCAGAATACCTTTTTAAAACATGGGGGTAAAGCCCCCCGAATGAACATTTCTGTATGTGCAGCACTTTCTTCTAGAGGCGTGCCAGCATTTGGAAGCATATAACAATTTAAGGAATCTGATGAATCAACAGAAGCCATGTATAACTCAACATCAAATGAAGCTCCAAAATATTCCAACTCTTGAACTATTCTTATTTTTCAATACGCTGTTGGCTGTTCAGTACATAACAAACAACTGATACACGAAGGCTGAAGATTTAAAGAACACTTTGCAATCCCCAAAAAGATGTCACAATTCCAAAAGGGACTGAAAAGCACAAATTCTAGTTGTCCATTAGACAAGTAAATCTAATCCATTGAGACAAGCCATGGATGATGAGCTGCAGTCAACCCTCCCTCTGGATTGTCCAATGGGTTATCGATCCCTTCATCAGGACTGCACAGCGACGGGAACTCCCGTAAAGTAGTACCTCCAAAAACAGTGTCTCCAAACTGCCTTATCTTTCTGCCTTTTCTGTCTGCCAAATCTGCCTTATCTAAAGAAGCCAGGCTGGCCGCAATGAGGGCCAGGGCCTTTTCTGTGGCGGCCCCTTACTGGTGGAACGAGCTCCCGGAGGACATCAGGCCCCTGCGGGACCTTCTGCAGTTCCAGAGGGCCTGTAAAACGGAGCTCTTCCACCAGGCTTTCAACTAAGGGGCCGCCTTTAACATCATGGCCCTGGCCCTACCACCAACGTCATCACCAACTTGATGACCAACAGCATGGATTAGGGGTAGGCGACCATCCAGATGTCAGAGAATGCTGCCATCTTTTGTTATATCTATATTAGATATTATTATATATATTAGTCAAGAAAGAGCCAGTTTGGTGTAGTGGTTAAGTGTGCGGACTCTAATCTGGGAGAACCGGGTTTGATTCCCCACTCCTCCACTTGCACCTGGCTGGATGACCTTGGGCAAGCCGTAGTTCTGATAAGAGCTGTTCTTGAAAAAGAGCAGTTTCTGTCAGAGCTCTCTCAGCCCCGCCTACCTCACAGGGTGTCTGTTGTGGGGAGGGGAAGGGGAAGGAGTTTGTAAGCCGCTCTGGGACTCCTTTGGGTAGTGAAGGGCGAGGTATAAATCCAATCTCCTCCTCCTCCTCTTCTTCTTCTTTTTTATTTTATTTATTTATTCTTTAGATTTATATTCCGTCCTCCCCGAAGGCTCAGGGTGGCTAACAAGGGCATAAATGCCTAATTAAAACAGTAAGAACAGCATAAAAATACAATACTATAATGCAACATAATACAATTGATAAAATATCGGTGCTCCACTACTCACTCCAATTCATAAAATCAAGATGGTGTTCTGCAGATGTTATGACAATACAATGACAGTATCTTCTTCTTCTTCTTCTTCTTCTTCTATGTTTTGAGTAGTTTTGGTCTTATCCACTGTGATTTTAACTTAATTCTGTTTTTAGGATATGTTGGAGTTTTAATGAATATGTCTGTATTGTAAGCCGCCCTGAGCTTGCCATGGCGGGGAGGGCGGGATAAAAGTTTAATAAATAAATAAATAAATAAATAAATTTATTCATGATGAATGCGTGCTGCCTTACCCTATAGCCGTTCTCTCATCGAGACGAATACAAAGACGGCCTCCGTGTATAGATTGTGCTTTGTGTCTTGAATAGCCAACAGCATACTGGAAAATAAGGATAGTCTAAGAGCTGGAATTTTTTTTGGAGCTTCATCTGATGTTAAGCTATATATAGCATTTGGAAGCGGTCAGAGAGAGCGGTGGGCAGGTCTGGTTCCCCCGAGAGCTCTGCCAGGGCCGGAGGTGCTCGGGATGAGGTCTTGGGCCAGCAGTCGTGGCTTTGCAGCACCAGACGGACGGCTCTCGGCCCTGCCCGAGCTCGCAGCTGTCGACCCGCAGGGGTGGCACTGAAGCACTGCCAAGGCCAGGCAGCATGCAAGCTGCCCCGGTGGCACCAAACGGCAGGCGCCTTGGTCTCCTTGCCAGAGTCCTGGTTGGAGACTCGGCGCGGCCAAGGCTGACGTGAGACCAAGGCTCCCTCTAAGCTGTGGAGTCTTGTGAGCAAAAATTCTACTTTGTGAGCTACTGGCATTAAAGTTACGAGCTTGCGCTGGAGCCATCCCTTCCTGAGCTAAGACAAAAATGTGTGAGCCGGAGGCTAAAAAACTGTGAGCTAGCTCACACTGACTCAGCTTAGAGGGAACACTGCCTGAGACCTTTTCTTCCTCCAGTGGCTGCAGGCGCAGGCCAACAGGGATCCCTAAACAGGTCCCCAAGGGATTCTGGGTCTTGTGCACAGTCGTCTCTCGTGTGGCTTTATTTCTGCTCCGAGGCCTCCGGCTCTCCCAGCCTCAGCGTGGACAGGATGGCCCTGATACTTGTGTCTTGAAAGTAAAAAAAATGTCCTCTTTTCTCCAGCTAAGTACATCGGCTGTTACGTCGACAACATCCACCGCAGAGCCCTCCGCGGAGTGTCCTTCTTCGACTACAAAAAGATGACATTGTTCCGTTGCCAGGACAACTGTGCCGAGCGGTAGGTGGCAAATGAACACGGGGCGGCGGGGGGGGGGGGGCCTCATTAATTCCAAGGCATCCACTGTATTTCTCTCCTGTCAGCTCCAGCAGTTTGACTCTCCCCAGGTTGTTTTTCTTCCTCCCTCCTGACACCCTCTGAGCCCAACAGATTTGAAAGATCCAATTTTTCTCACTCGGGGAAAAGCAAGGCCTCATTTGCAATGGAAATGCCCTTTCCGAGCAGCGCTGGAACCGAGACGCCGGAATTATATACTGCAGCTTTCCTGGCCTGCCAGAGAAATTGGCTGCTGCCATTGTTGTAACTGCAGAGCATTTGCCTGGCTGCAGAAACGGGGTTTGAGAGACGCTTCAGTCCTGTTTCCCGCAATGGGAATTGATGGAAACAAAGGTGACGGGTTGACAGCGGTGATGCCTAGGCTGCGGGCAGAGGAGGATCCTTGTGGGCCGTGATGCACCCTGCCAGCCTGTGAACTCTCCAGGACTAGGCAAGGCCGGAAAGGGTGGGCGGGTGGTCTGATCTAAAGCAAGATGTGTACAGCAATGGGTTACAAGCCCTTCAGGACCTGGGAGAGCTCCTTGGGACAGCAGACGTCGTTCTTCTGCCATTGTCCACAGGTCAGCTGAGTCCTTCCGTCTTCCATCAGAATCAGACTGAGCCTAGTTCCTTCGTACGGGATGCTAGGACTGAGGGGGTATCACTTTCCTGGCCACACATGGTACAAGAGCCAGTGCAGATTTCATACCTGAAGGATCTGAGCTACCCATGCTAGATTCTGCATCTGTCTATCCATCTATGTGTCTCTCTGTCTGTCATGTATCTATCTGTCTGTCTGTCTGTCTATCTATCATCTATCATCATCTAACTATCAATCATCTATCTATCTATCTAACTATCTATCTATATCTATCTATCTATCTATCTATCTATCAACTGTCTGTCTGTCTGTCTGTCTGTCATCATCTATCTATCTATCTATCTATCTATCATCATCATCATTATCTGTCTATCTGTCTGTCTGTCTATCTGTCTGTCTATCTACCATCATCTATCTATCAGTCATCATCATCATCTATCTATCTATCTATCAGTCATCATCATCTATCTATCTATCTATCTATCTATCTATCTATCTATCTATCTATCTATCTATCCATCCATCCATCCATCCATCCCCTGCCGGCAAACGGTGAGAACCTGGCAACTCTATGGAAGCTATGCAGGGTTAGTACTTGGGATGGAGACCTCCTAGGAAGACTCTGCAGAGGAAGGCAATGGCCAACCACCTCTGCTTCTCACTTGCCTTGCTGGGTTCACCCTAAGTCAGCGGTGGCTTGACAGAACTTCACACACCAGCTTTCAAGAGTCAAAGCCCCCTTGCCCAAAACTCCCTGGTATCTTATACCCTGAAAATCTTGTTGGTCTCCAAGGTAGTACTGGACGCTAATCTAGGTGTTCTGCCTGCCTGCCTGTCTTTCAGTTGATCTAGCTAGCTAGCTGGTTAGCTAGCTAGGACCAGTGTTCCCTCTAAGCTGAGTTAGTGTGAGCTAGCTCACAGTTTTTAGCCTCCGGCTCACCCATTTTTGTCTTAGCTCAGGGTGGTTGGCTCCAGAGCAAACTAATTCATGCAGTCGCCAAATCACCTGCTCCCAACTTTAATGCCGGTAACTCAGAAAGTAGAATTTTTGCTCACGGGACTCCACAACTTAGAGGGTGGATTGGCTAGGGCACATTTAACACGCCCTTTCTCCGACTTGCTTCTCTCCTCTTCCATTTTACCCTGGCAACAACTCCTGTGAGGTAGGCTAGGCTGAAAAGGCAGAAGCGGCCCAAAGCTGCCCATGACATTTTACATCCAAATGGGGACTTGAACACAGGCCTCCCCTCTCCTAATCTGATGTACCGACCACACTGACCCAAGGTCTAAGATCAGGGATGTGAGAATGGCGCATTGGGCAGGACTGCCAACTCTTTGACCAGTCCGATCTATTTCTCCGCTGGTGTGATCCCGGCCTCGCCTCGGTTTCCTGAACGGGATGGTCCCCGTATTTCCCCAAGTTGCTGCACCTCTTTGACTCAGCCAAAGGCCCTTTCCCGATCCGTTTGCCCGCAGAACACACATCATGCTGCTCCCTCTCCCTGCACCTTAGCCTGTAAGTCACACGGCCGTCTCTTGCGCTATGATCTATAAGACGTGCACCGATCTTTCCTCTTGAAAAGTGATGCTCCCTCCTCCGTGCATCTTGTAAATCATCTTGCAATGAGTGTCGGCAAACACACCGGATTGCTCCTCGTGCCGAGGTCATCTTCCTAGGTAAGAGCGCGGGATGCAAATGGATTTGGCCTCCTGTCGCGGGCCTGGGATGCAAATGGATTTGGCCTCCTGTCACGGGCCAAACAGAGGCTGGATGGCCATCCAACAGTAATGCGGATTCTGTGAACTCAGGCAGATCACGAGAGGGAGGGCAGGAGGAGATGAGCTGGTGCTTAGTTTTTGTGACCCTTTCTTACACACCCAGGGAAGTGGCTGAGAGCCAGTTTGGTGTAGTGGTTAAGTGCGTGGACTCTAATCTGAGAGAAACGGGTTTGATTTCCCACTCCTCCACTTGCAGCTGCTGGATGACCTTGGGCAAGAGGTCCATCAGTGGAGCAGAGGTCCATCAGTGGCTATTAGCCACAAGGTGTAGATAGGAACTCTCAGTCTGGGGCAAGTGATGCTCTGTCTTCTTGGTGCTTGGGGGAGGGGCAACAGTGGGAGGGCTTCTGGTGCTCTGGCCCCACTGCTGGACCTCCTGAGGGCCCCCGGTATTTCTAGCCACCGTGTGACACAGAGTGTTGGACTGGATGGGCCACTGGCCTGATCCAACTTTGGCTTCTCTTATGTTCTTACAGGAACTCTCGGTCTGGGGCAAGGGATGCTCTGTATTCTTGGTGCTTGAGGTGGGAGCAACAGTGGGAGGGCTTCTAGTGTCCTGGCCCCACTGCTGGACCTCCTGATGCCCCCTGGTCTTTTTGGCCACTGTGTGACAGAGTGTTGGACTAGATGGGCCATTGGCATGATCTGAGATTGGCTTCTCTTATGTTCTTAAGCCAAAGTTCTGTCAGAGCTGTTCTTGAAAGAGCAGTTCTCGAAAGGGCTCTCTCAGCCCCACCTACCCATCTGTTGTGGGGAGGGGAAGGGGAAGGAGATTGTAAGCTGCTCTGAGACTCCGAGTGAAGGGCGGGGTATAACTCCAATACCTTCTACCTTCTTCTGATCACGATGTTGGTGGTCAGGAAGCAATTTTTCTCCAAGCCACTTTGGCTGGAGATCCTGGAGGTTTTTTTGTCATCTTCTGGGCATGGAAGAGGGGTCACTGGGTGTGTATGTAAGGGAAGGTATTTGTGAATTCCCCGCATAGGACAGGGGGTTGGACTAGATGACCTGGGAGGTCCCTTCCAACTCTATGATTCTATGATTCAATAACTTGTCGGAAAACTGAGCGCAGTAAAGGTAGGTAAGAAACCCTAATGCATATGACTACTCTGCCCCTAGCCTTCTCTAGATATCTGGCCTCAAGCTGACCCATCCCTTTTGGATGAGGGATACCTCCCTCTGCAGCAGCCTCACCAGCCCTGTGTCAAACCCTGCTAGGCTTCACTTGCTTTGGTTGCCAGTTGTTGCTGGGGGGAGGGAATCCCTTAGGGAAGGGGTACTGGTGTGAGTGAGTGAGTGAGAGAATGAGACCTTTCCCTTTCAGGAGACATCACTTTCCAAGTCAACCTCCTTTCCCTCCTTGTGCTTTCCCAGGGGAAGGCGTCCTTGAGAGACTCTCTGGGACTGCAGATAACCACGACTTATATCTTTCACTTGGTTGGTATGGCAACGTTAGGCGTGGTGTGCATGTGACGTGTGCTTGGGGGGAAAGGAAGGGGCTCCTCTTTGAATTTTCTATATTAAGCTTGTGCCGGCCAAACGTCTTCAGTTCTGACACAGCGACTTTCTGGATCATGCATACACCTCAATAAACTTATCAATGCCAAGAGAGAGTAGTTGAGTATAACTAGACCGGGGCCTGACACCCTGCTCCCCAGGAATGAACCCCTTCCCACTTTGGGGCAAGGGCTTTTATTCCTTCTTCCCACACACCACCCTCTACTCCTCTGCTGTTGTAGGTTTTCCCTCCAGATCCCATTAGCCAATCACAGGGTCCAGAGGGTGACCTGGGAAATGTAGGCTCTATAGTCACTCTAATACAGGTTTCCCTGGAGCCACTAGGCCTCCCTGGAGCCTGTAGGCCGCACCACAACAGGCCTAGGATCATGACACCTCCCATTCAGAGCCTCCAGGATCTGACCTCCCATTCAGACTGGCTTGTGGCTCAGGAGGTGGTTGGGAACAGCTTTTCTTTCGGCTCAGGTGCTTGAGTCATCTGGACAAGATCATAAGAACGTAAGAGAAGTCCATCTTGGATCAGTCCAGTGGCCCATCCAGTCCAACACTCTGTGTCACACAGTGGCCAGAAATACCAGGTGCCATCAGGAGGTCCAGCAGTGGGGCTAGGAGACCAGAGCCCCCTCCCACTGTTGCTCCCCCCCTGCAAGCACAAAGACTACAGAGCATCCCTTGCCCCAGACTGAGAATTCCTATAAGAACATAAGAGAAGCCAATGTTGGATCAGGCCCATGGCCCCTCCAGTCCAACATTCTGTGTCACACAGTGGCCAAAAATACTATCAGGAGGTCCAGCAGTGGGGCCAGGACACTAGAAGCCCTCCCACTGTTGCTCCCCCCCTGCAAGCACAAAGACTACAGAGCATCCCTTGCCCCAGACTGAGAATTCCTATAAGAACATAAGAGAAGCCAATGTTGGATCAGGCCCATGGCCCCTCCAGTCCAACATTCTGTGTCACACAGTGGCCAAAAATACTATCAGGAGGTCCAGCAGTGGGGCCAGGACACTAGAAGCCCTCCCACTGTTGCTCCCCCCCTGCAAGCACAAAGACTACAGAGCATCCCTTGCCCCAGACTGAGAATTCCTATAAGAACATAAGATAAGATAAGCTAATGTTGGATCAGGCCCATGGCCCCTCCAGTCCAACATTCTGTGTCACACAGTGGCCAAAAATACTATCAGGAGGTCCAGCAGCAGGGCCAGGACACTAGGAGCCCTCCCATTGTCCCCCCCCCAAAGCACCACACCAAGAATACAGATCATCCCTTACCCCAGACTGAGAGTTCCTATAAGAACATAAGATACGCCAGTGCTGGATCAGGCCAATGGCCCATCCAGTCCAACATTCTGTCACACAGTGGCCAAAAACACCAGGGGCCATCAGGAGGTCCACCAGTGAGAAGCTCTGAGCCCCTGTCCTGAACATCAGACACCCTAACCCCAGATGGGGAAAAAAAGATTTATATATTTATTTGAAGAAAATGTTTACATCCTGCCTTTCCTTGTTGTTCAAGGTGGCTTCCAATAATAGTTTAATAATTATTAAGAACAGAATGTGTAAAGGGTTGAACAGAAGACGGTGGTAGTTAAAGAAATGTTACCCATGGGACAGAATATATGAAAAAGGTAGTTAAAATAATAGTTATCTATTAAACTGTGTTTTAGAAGGAAGGATTAGACAAGAAAAGAAACTAGGTAGGGGTGGGATCATTGCGGGAAGCCGGGAGGGAGGGAGGGAGGGAGGGAGGGGAAAGGGCTATAATACAAATGAGGGAATGTTATAATATTGGACATGTTGTTATAACCCGATAATAATAAAATGTTTAAAAAAAACATTTTCAATTTAAAAACAAAACTAAAATAGCCAGTGGGCTACTTATGGTCTGGTGTGCCTAGGAGAAACTCACTCTGAACGTGTTCTTTTCTACTGTGTTGCATCCTCTTGGGCAAAGCTGTGGTACTGAGCACAGGTTGTCTGGGGCCTGAGCCCCAGCACCTATTCAGCCAGGACGGTCCCAGTTTGTTCAATTTCACACCACAGAGCTTCGCTTTGAGAAAAAAACTGCATTTCATGGCCTTTGGACTCGTAATCTCGTGACCATATTTTTCTCTGTGCCATGTTGGCATGTCTTTACCAACGGATGCATGTTGTAATCTTATTGCTCTGTCATATGAAAAGGGTACAAAATTATGGTAAAATGGCGCAAGGGTAAAAACCAGTGGCAAAGAAAGGCAGGACACAGCAGCTGAAGCATGAAGTGGATGGCGGGGACCGCATGTCAGGGTCCTTAGGTTACGCAACACAGGGCTTCATGAGAAGATAACCGTTTATTGGTAAATCCAGTACTAGAGACACGTGTACAGCTTGTGTCAGGAATGGACGCCAATACTAGGGCCTCTGACTTATACTAGAATCAAACATCCCCCCCCCCCCGGTAAGCATAAGCCAATGGATACATCTCGCGCGTGCGGGCAAAGCAAGCAGGCAAAGTGAAAAGCCATTAACATTCCCAGCTGAGTAAAACTGCAGCTGGAGCATCTACAAGGTCAAGCATAAGATAGCAAACAGTTGGTGAGCCAGGGAGAGCTGAGACAGAAAACGGGAGGGCACCTGTGAGCCGGAGGCTAAAAAACTGTGAGCTAGCTCACACTCACTCAGCTTAGAGGGAACAGTGGTCCAGACTACCTTGCCGTGCGAGAGGTTTGTGCCAGAGGGTGCAAAAGGGTCCAGCTGAGTACAGTTCTAGAGACCTCACTGTGCATTCAGAAACATCAAATTGAGTTCCTGGGTTACGGAGAAGAATTTTAGACTAACCTTCTCCTTGATGTGCTGAGTTTTCTGTGTGGAGGTCGTAGAACAAAATTTAGAGTCCAGTGGGGCACCTTTAAGACCAACAAAGTTTTATTCAAGGGATGAGCTCTCTTGTGCAAAGCACACTTCTTTAAATACATTGGAATGGGAGGTAAGGTTGAAACTTGCAGGGGGGGGCTGAACAGCAAATTAACATGTAACATGATGAAGATGTGCAAAGACAGAACAACATAAGAGGCTAGGGTTGTAAGGTCAACAGTTGTGAAGCAATAAATATGTCAAAATAGCAGATATATGTGTAAAAGAGGTAGACTGGTCAGCGCATTTGAAGAGGTAGCCGCTCAGCCAAGTTCTGCAGCAGCGGGGTTCAAGGAGAAGGTTTTCTGAATGGGTTGCTAGGTCCCCGCTGGCCACTGGCAGGGGATGGGGGGGGCTCTTTTTGTAGCAGGAACTCCTTTGCATATTAGGCCACACCCCCTAATGTAGCCAATTCTCCAAGAGCTTACAGAGCTCTTCTTACAGTAGCTACTGTAAGAAGAGCTCTGTAAGCTCTTGGAGAATTGGCTACATTAGGGGGTGTGGCCTAATATGCAAAGGAGTTCCTGCTACAAAAAGAGCCCAAAGCCAGATCCAGGTTGGGAAGCTCCTGGAGATCTGGGGGTGGAGCTAGGGGAGGAGAGGGACCTTACTGGGGCACAGTGCCATAGAGCCCCACCCTCCAAAGCATCCATTTTCTCCAGGGGAACTGATTTCTGTAGTCTGGAGCTGTCATTCTGGGAGATCCCCAGGTCCCGCTTGCAAGCTGGCATCCCAAGTGAAGAGTCACGCCCAGAAGCTGGACTTCACACCCACACACCCCCGAATGAATTGTGGTCTCTCTGTCTCTCCAGGGGTTACCTCTACGCCGGTCTGGAGTTTGGGGCCGAATGCTACTGCGGGCACAAGATCCAGGCCGTCAACGTGAGCGACTCCGACTGCAACATGGAGTGCAAAGGGGAGAAGAGCAACATCTGCGGGGGAGTGAACCGCCTGTCCATCTACCGCCTGGAGCTGGCACAGGAGTCGGCACGGAGGTGTAAGTCCCGAGGAGCTGCCCTGGAAAATGGGGACAGGTGTGGGAGCGGAGGGGAGGGGAGCCAAGGGGCGGAGCAGAGGAGGGCTTTCAGGAGAGAGCTGCGGGCCACCGTTCTGGAACTGGCTCCTGCAGAGTGCAGGGGGTTGGACTAGATGACCTGCAAGGTCCCTTCCAACTCTTAACATTCTATGAGTCTATGGCTACGGGGCTCCCAAACTCTGCAGCACAAGCCAGCAGTGGGGGACGGGGATGGGACAGGCAGGACTCCAGGGTGGAGGTTAGGCGTCAAAGTCATGGGTTGAGTCCAGGTGACAGAACAGCAACACACGGTATAAATAATGCAGACAGGAAACGCTCAAGAACATATGAGAAAATGCTGATCACATCTCTACGACAAGTAAGTAACAAAGTGAATATTAACTGACAAATAAATTACAAAGACGAGGACAAAATATAATACAGAAGCATAATCGTGTGATACGATATAGAAAGGGTATTAATTAAGTAGTATAAAGATGATACTACGAAGACTCCGGATTTCACTCTTCGTTTCGATCATTCTTCCTCAGCAGGCCGCATCGAGCACTTAGTATATAGAGAAGCCTCCAAGGTAATGAGCACAGGCTGAGTATCCAATCCTGTATATCTAAATGATCAAAAACGGGCAGCCGCTCCGTACCAGAGCGTATTCTTACACTGTTGGCACGCCTCCAAGTGAATCCGGGTGAGCCACTCGGCTTCTGGGAGTGTTTCCCCCAGGACCCTCCTGTGGTTGCAAGAGCCTCTTGCTCCAGAGAGTGCTCCTCACGCTAGAAGGAAGCGCCACCGCCCATGGAACAGATCCCGTCCTGTTTTGAGGGGCGCCAAAAAAGGTCATATTCAGGGGTCATTTCATAGAAAAAGAGGTGCAGGAGCTCATTAGCATAACTCATTTGCATAACTCATTTGCATATGCCACACCCCCTGACATCACTGGAAGTGTGTCAGAAGGCAACACCCCCCACTCAGGCTCCACTGGACTGTTTTGGATTGCTAGGTATTGGGGGGGGGGGGGGAACGTGCAGATCGGTCCTCGCAGAGGAGGGAGAGCTTGTACCTGAATAAAACCTGGTCTTAAAGGTGCCACTGGACTGTTTTGGACCGGGGGGGGGGGGCTCTGCAGCTTACCTGGCTGCTTCTTGCTCTGACTGAGGGCTGCTGGGAGCAGGGGGCGGGGCTTGTTGCATGTGCCCGCCCCCTGGGCTCTTTACTGAGGGAGCTCCGCTCCTGTGCGCTCCTGCAGGGAATGACCCCTGGTCATATTCAGGAAGTTCAGAGAGGGCGGTTTACCAGCGCCGAACCCTCGTCTTCCCCATCAAGTGAGTCGCCAGTTCCCTTCACACTCAGAGGAGGCACTCAAGCCAGCAGAGGGTTCCCCACCCCAATTTATCTGCTGCCCTGATGGGGAGTGAGGGGTGGAGCAGGAAGCTGTGGAGGGCGGAGGGGACACTCTGGCCAAATCCCTTTTGTCTTCACAGGCTCCCCACTGCAGTGTCTTTGGTGCTGGGAGAGGGCAGGTTTAGTGTGCTATAAGATTTCGACAGGCCAGGGGACCTCAACGTGGCACCCACTGACCCCTTTCCTAGTGCCCACCAAGTGTTTTCAGAAAGTCGGTGTGGCCAGGTGGGGCGTTTGCCCAGCAAGCACTCTGATTGGCTAATGGAGATTTGATTAGCTGTGACTGAACAACAGATGTTTAAGGAGCTGCAGTGGCTCAAGTGGTTAAGACGCTGAACTGCAGGCTGTGGAAGGTCAGTAGTTCAGCAGTTCGAGACCCGAGTTGCCGCATGATGGAGTGAGCTCCCATCTCTAGCTTGGAGAAAGCAAGAAATTGCAAGTAGATAAATAGGTACCACTTTGGTGGGAGGGTAACAGCATTCTGTGCGCCTTGGTGTTTAGTCATGCCGGCCACATGACCACGGAAATGTCTTTGGACAGCGCTGGCTCTTCGGCTTTGAAACGGAGATGAGCACCGCAACCCTAGAGTCGGACTCGACTGGCTTTTGAGCAAGGGAACCTTTACCTTTACCTTTACTTTACAGATGTTTAAGAAGGTTGCTTTGGCAACAGTTGCCATCACAGCATGAGGGTTTTCACTGAAGGTAATCTGCGGCAGCCATTTTGTGCCTGGCGCCATCTCCTCTGGCAGCCATTTTGTGGCTTTGCCCGCCACGCTCTGTCAGAATTCCAAAAGTGCTTGTGGGCTTTAAAAGGATAGGGACCAGTGCTGAAGATGGATGGCTCCAGGGTTGCTTTCTGTGAGGGTTTATGAGGATCAGGGTTCTTATGACTTCTATCTTACCATCAGCGTTCCCTCTAAGCTGAGTTAGTGTGAGCTAGCTCACAGTTTTTTAGCCTCCGGCTCACATATTTTTGTCTTGGCTCAGGAAGGAGGGCTCCAGAGCAAACTAATTGATGCGGTAGCCAAATCGCTTGCTCACAAGGCTCCACAGCTTAGAGGGAGAGCATTGCTTACCACTCTGCTCAACTAAGTGTTGAGTTTGGTGTCGTGGTTAAGTGCGCAGACTCTAATCTGGGAGAACCGGGTTTGACTCTCCACTCCTACACATGCAGCTGCAGGATGACCTTGGGCAAGCTGTAGTTCTGGCACAGCTGTCCTCGAAAAAGAGCCGTTTCTGTCAGAGCTCTCTCAGCCCCACCGACCTCACAGGGGGGCTATCGTGGGGAGGGGAAGGGAGAAGAGTTTGTAAGCTACTCTGAGACTCCTTGGGTAGTGAAGGGCAGGGTATAAATCCAATCTCTTCTTCTCTCCTGCTTCTTTTTATGGGGCACACCCCTCTATGTTTAGGGGCTAGGATGGGAGTTAATTCAGGTTACTCTATTTTATTGGTTAGGATTCCTGCATCCCCACCCCACCCTGTAACTAAGGCTGTATTCTGCAGCATGTGGTGCTCACACAGATACTGCCCCTGAACACTGGAGGTTCCACTTGGTCACCCTGACTTTCAACTCTTAGAGAAGCGGCCTTGGCTTCAGGGGGGGGGCACATACCTGCTTTGCAAGCAGACGGTCCCAGTTCCTGCCCGTGGCAACTCCCAGTCAGTGTTCCCTCTAAGCTGAGTTAGTGTGAGCTAGCTCACAGATTTTTAGCCTCTGGCTCACACATTTTTGTCTTCGCTCAGGAAGGAGGGCTCCAGAGCAAACTACGGTAATTTATGCAGTAGCCAAATCGCTCGCTCACAACTCTAATGCCAGTAGCTCACAAAGTAGAATTTTTGCTCACAAGACTCCACAGCTTAGAGGGAGCATTGCTCCCAGTAACAACAGTTTGGGGAGAAACCTTTGACTGGCAGCAGCTCTTCGGGGCTTTAAAGCCAGAGAGAGTGACTCAGCTAGGTGACCCGGTGACCCAGCACTGTACATTTAAGGAAAGGCGCTTGGCGTCTGTGCTGTGATCAAAGGCTCTCCGGTTCAATCCCCGGCATTGCCTGTGAAAGGTTCTCAGGTGCTGGGAAATGCCCTTCCTTGCCTGAGACCCTGGAGAGCCGCTTCCCGTCCGAGTAAACAATACTGAGCTAGATGGCGCCATAGCCGGTCCCGGAACGGGTATAAAGTGTCTTTATATGTTTGTATGCCAAGTCCTCTGTGGGTTTCTCTCTTTCTTGCAAGACGCCATCTAAGCCAGTGGCCAGTTGTGTGTGTGGGTGTGTGTACAGTGTGCTAAAATAATCTCTCAGGTGGCTCGCATTTCAGCCCCGCAAATCCTGCCCAAACAAAGTTGTTTTTTTCCACGCCCTGCCAAATATGCTCTGGTCAGGGATTTCATAAACCTCCCAGGGACAAGGGTTCCATGCAGAAGGGCTGGCTGCCAAGAACTCGCTCGGTGTGCTTTTGAACCTCAGAGGGGGGGGGGGAGATTTTCCTGAGAGACCACTTAGGGGCTGTCCTGGGCAACGCTCCCTCTCAGCTGTGGAGTCCTGTGAGCAAAAATTCTGCTTTGTGAGCTACTGGCATTAAAGTTGTGAGCGAGCAAGCAGGCTACTGCATAAATTAGTTTGCTCTCTGGAGCCGTCCATCCTGAGTGCAGACAAAAATGTGTGAGCCGGAGGCTAGAAAACTGTGAGCTGGCTCACACTCACTCAGCTTAGGGGGAACACTGGGATGCAAGGGCAGAGGTGGACAGAGAGCTGGGGGGGGGGTTCCCCCAAAGTGGGAGGAAATTGAGCCGGGGTTGCATATAGCTTTGAATTCGGCCTTTACAAAATAAAGCTGTCTGCACCAAGAAAAGCAGAGTTCTGTCTGTGTGTGTAGAGGGCCCTCAAGCCGCAGCCAACTTGTGCTGACCCCATAAGGTTTTCGAGACAAGAGGCTCACAGAGAAGAGGAGAGTAGGTTTTTATACCCTCCTTTTCTCTACCAGTTTGATGTAGTGGTTTGGTGTAGTGGAGCCAGTGTGGTGTTGTGGTGAAGTGCGCGGACTCTAATCTGGGAGAACCGGGTTGGATTCCCCACTCCTCCACTTGCACCTGCTGGATGGCCTTGGGCAAGCCGTAGTTCTGATAAGAGCTGTCCTTGAATAAAGAGCAGTTTCTGTCAAGAGCTCTCTCAGCCCCGCCCACCTCACAGGGTGTCTGTTGTGGGGAGGGGAAGGGAAAGGGGTTTGTAAGCCGCTCTGAGACTCCCTTGGGTAGTGACAGGCGGGGTATAAATCCAATCTCTTCTTCAGTCACAAGTTCTCTCCTTCCTAAAATGTGGTGCCCAAAGCTGGAGACAGGACTCCAGGTGAGGCCTGACCATAGCAGAATAGAGCGGAACTACCACCTCCCGTGATGTGGACACAGTGCTTCTGTGAATGCATCCTAAGATTGCATTAGCTTTCTTTGCAGTCATATCACACTGCAGGCTCATGTTTAGCTTGTGACACATAACACATAATTTAGGGAATGAAACCCTGCGAAAGTAGACTCACCCGCACAGTGGAGCATATGTGCCTAAGCTTAT